GAGGGATGAGGCTGGTGATGTACTACTGGTGGCGATGGAGTAGACTGGGGGAAATGACACAGCTTCTATGCCCATCACACAGCCCTGGGCTCAGGGACGGGGTGCCTAGGTTCCCAGCCTGGGCTGATGGGGGTCCAGGCACCCCTGGGTGGTGACCGCTGCATTGCACTCACTGAGCTGACGTGTGCCCACTCCCGCACAGCCTGCACCAGGTCCAGCTCATCCACGGCCAGGCGGTCGCTGCGCAGCACCCGTGCCAGCACCACATCAGAGAGCTCACGGAAGCCCTGTGTCCGCATCACTGCCTGCCAGCACACCACAGCACCGCTGGGACCAGGACCCCACATGACCACCACCACCCCCCGTCCATGGGCCATTGGACCCATCCCGGTGCCATCCCTGCGTGGCCCCCCAACATCCCTCCCTACCCTGACCCCAACACCCTGGCACACCAGTACCCCTCAGCCAGCCTCTGCCTGGCATCCAGCATCTTCTCTCCAAATACCATTTGCTTCTTTTCCCAGCTTCCAGGCCCCCATTCTTCAGTTCCCTGCTCCCTTGCCTCATACTGTGTCCCCCAGTGCTCTCCATGCCACATGCCCTCCCATGCCCTCGGGTATCCCATGCCATGCTCTCTCATCACCTGCTGCCGTACCATGGTGCAGCCCTCGATGAAGGCCAGGCAGTGCTGCTGGAGGTCTGCCTGACCATAGGTCACCGCAGCCTGTGGGACAACACAGACAACTGTGAGGGGGTCTAGGGCAGGAGGGAACCCCACCAAAGCCTTACAGAGACACAGGCATTCTCAGGGACCCAGGTGAGGTGAGCATCCCTGTGCATGGAGAGGGTGTGAGGAGGAACGGGTACCAAGGTCCCCTCCCTTCCTGGTTTGCCCCATGGCAAAGGTTTTGCTGGCTCTACTGCCCACATTTGTCACCCAGCCTCACCATCAGCAGGAGATGTGAATTTCCACTGCTGCTTAGGGACATAGGTGATGACCCAACCCCCACTGTGCAGGCCCTTTTGTTGCTCTCACAAGGTCACACTGTGGGGACATGGGATTGCCAGTCCCCAGTGCTTCTTGTGTGGGCACACAGTCAGCTCAAAGTCCCACACAAGTGCCCCATGGCCTGGTGCCAGCCCCAG